GGGGGGGGGGGGGGGGCAGATATACCATGGGTGATGATGGACGCAACAGCAGACACAACAACGTGATGGAGAGGATGAGGCAAGGCGGCTTCCTGGGCACAACATTCCTGCTTGAGTCGAGGGAATGGTTGGCGACGAGGGCCGTGGAGGGCGATCGGGAGGGAATGGATGTGATGTAGGGCCACGCTGCCTGGCGTACCTACTAGTGCTCACCCCCATCTACCTGGCTGGAGGAGTGCTAACTTTGTGTCCAAAGGGCTCCCTGTGTCTGACCATGCATTCGTGGATGACCTAGCACCACTAGCAACGAGAATACAGGAATACAGGCGACGGAAACAAGGACAGACACGCCGCTGCTGCAGCAGCAACAAGAAACAACGCCACCCATACTAGAGAACCACCACCTGCCATGGCCAGGCAACGTGCCGCACTGCTGTACCTCCTTCCCTCACTCCCAACGGGTCTTTTTTTCGTCGTTTCTGCCCGGACGAACTTTCCGCTTTCTTTTTGTTCCGAAACACGATGAAACGACGATGACGACGGAGCAGAGGGGCATACTTCGGTGGTGGGAGATGTGGCATGGCACCAGCAGAACCCGAAGCTGCTAGGCTCGGTTGGCGACGACAGACAACTCCTTTTCTGGGACACGTCCATGGACGGGTCCAAGCCGACTACGGTTATCAAGGATGTGAGAAGAAGAAGTACAAAAAATGTGTTGGAAATAAAACACGACAACTGGGGTGTGTGAAGGGGGCGGGGTTTATGCATGCATGGCATGTAGATGGTACGGAACCCCAGTTCGTCAAATTTGACTTTTTTTTTTTTTCTCCTCTTCCTCCCCCTGTCCTCCTGCTAGATGTTCGACTATCAACACGCTCAACTCTCTCTCGTTGTTTCCTTCCACCCCTTCCCGGTGCGAATCATTCTTCTTGCTTCGGGGCGGTTGTCGGCATACATCACGAACGGGGTGGAATCCCNGGGGTGGAACCCCCCCCCCCCCGCCCCCCGCCCCAAAGGCACACTCGGCGAATATCAACTGCTTGGCGTTCAACCCATTCAGCGAGTTCTTGCTCGCGACGGGCTCTTCCGATACCACCGTGGCGCTGTGGGACATGCGGAACATGGGCAAGCCGATGCACCTGCTGGAGAGACACAGCAGCGAGGCCGGAGACGGAGAGGTAGGGAGGAGGCGCTGTGGTTAAAGCACGCACTACATGCTACGATAGAGCAGGCTATTGGAGGCGAAGAAGAAACTTTTTTCTTGTGGCTGGTTTGCCGGAAGACCGTGCTGGCTGTTGGGCGAAGACTGTTTTTGTGGCTGATTTTGCCAGCAAAAGAGCGGATTAGTAGCAGGTGTTGACAGGTTGGATGGTACGTACAGTAGCGTAGCGCCTCTGCTTTTCGCGCGGGGAGAGGTGCGACATGAGAGTCAGCGCTGTGTGGGCGAACGAATTACACCACCCCCCCGTAGCCTGGGCCGGCGAAAGCCCGGTATCGCTCCGGCCCGGTCTTGTAGGGATGCTAGGTCAACGGTCTAACGACTGCGGCATGCGCTTACATGAGCACACCCCGACCCATCCCCGCCCCCGCCCCTGCTTGCCAAACAGGTGCTGGGGGTGCAATGGGCGTCGTTCGACGAGACCATCCTGGGGTCGTGCAGCGCGGACAGACGAGTCAAGGTGTGGAGCCTGAGCCGCATCGGGGAGGAGCAGAGCCCGGAGGACGCGGAGGACGGCCCGCCGGAGTTGCTCTTTATCCACGGGGGTCACACCAGCCGAGTCGGAGACTTCAGGTACACATATTGTGCATGTAAAATAGTCAACCCCCCAACTCCTTTCTTGGTGTGGCTGACGACCACGGATTGGAGCTATTAATAGCTCCTGCTACTCGGCAGAAATGCTGCGAGCTGTGCGCGCTGTTATAAAGTGATGAACCATTATTACTTTCATTTTTAACACGCAAGTTTAACGCGCATTGGAGGAACGGGTAGGAGTCCTTAGGTGCAGGAACGCTTCTGTGTGACTGGCGACCACGAATTGGCGCTCCTGCTACCTGGCAGAAATGCTGTGGGCTGTGAGTGCTAGTTTAAAGCGATGAAACGAAAAAGTCTTGCCCCTCCGCTCCCCCCCGATGTTTGCCATCGGGGTTGGGTTTTCGTCGCTTGGCAACGACGCTGTAAAACAAGCTCCCTCCCTCGGTGTTTGCCATCGGAGTTGGGTTTTCATCGCTTGGCAACGCACAAGNCCCCCCCCCCCCCCCCCCCCCCCCCCCTCCGCCCGCCGCCGAGGCCCGGGCTGTGCTGCGGTTGGTTGCGTTGATTTTTTTTGTCTTCGGGGAACAGCGGCAGCAGTTGGTACTTGGTCGTGTGGAGGGTTGTTGGTTTCCGTGGTCGTGCCATACCCTTTGCAGTCACAGCAGTTGTACACTGCAGGAGATGCTGCTGGCCTGGAGAGGGGGTGGGACTGTTGGTTGTGTCTTGCCCCCACTGCCATCACGCCTGTTTATGGCGGTCATCGGCAGTACACGGGTGAACAGGTAGTGCAGACCACCGGGGTGCTATCATAAAGCGGACCTCGCCACCGTGGCTGTTGGGAACGTCCCTTTCCGTCCGTGCGACTGACTCGCGGAGCCCCCTCTCGGCGCTTTTAGATTGGCCATGAACAATCTTGGCCTTCCACGCGAACAAAGCCCACGCACCCCCCGCTCCGTCACTTGTGCAAATGTCACACAGATGNCCCCCCCCCATTTTTCAGCTGGAACATGAACGACGACTGGGTCTGCGCGTCGGTGTCGGAGGACAACATCCTGCAGGTGTGGCAGATGGCGGAGAACATCTACGCGGAGGAGGCGGAGAACGAAGAGGACCCCGATGAGGTCGAAGACCAGGACCTCGAGGACTAGGAGGGCTAGACTTTTTGGACACTGGTGTTGGCCTGTTGTGGTAGCATTGCCTAGGTAGACACAGCGGGAAACTCTCGCCGGTACACGCTCTGCAAATCGACCGGCGCTATTCAGCAGGGATGGTACTGAATGGTTCAGTCTGTGCCTTGCGAAAACACCGGCGCTATTGTACCGGGGGCCGGCACTATTCAACTGGCACTGCTGGGCCTCCACCGCTGTATGTAGACGGCAGCCAGCCCCCATCCATGTAGAAAACTAGGCCCTGTCGACCTTGGCTGCTGCTGGTCCATTGTGGGGTGTGCCGGGGCGGGTGTCTCTCTAGGGCGTCGACTCTTGTTTTTGCGTTTTACTTGGCTGGCGCCTCGGATTGAGAGGGGTGGGGGGGGGGACACGCAGAGGAAGAGAAGGTCGAGTGGGGGGTGGGGGGGTGGAGGCGATGGACGGACGCGCAGGGCTTTCACAGAAAGGTGGGGGCCTGGAAATGACAAACCCGTTGTGTGCGAGGGCTATGAGTTGGTACGCTGCAAGACGTCCGTGTGCAGTGTGTCAGCAATCGAGGAGCTTGGTTGGTTGCGGTTGGGACACGGCACGACAGAAATAGATGCGCTTCATTCAGGCAGTAAGAGGCCAAGGGTGGACGTTACGAAATGCTTGACGGGCACGGTCGTGTTGCACGATTTGGTCTGAAGTGCCACGTGCAGCAACAGCGAGCGGGTGACCTCTTTTCACCTTGGTGGTGGCATCCCGGGGGTGTTCGATTGCCTCGCGTGTGCGTCATATCGAACGTCGTGCACATGCATACGCGTCGCTATGATGTTTACTCTTGTCGGGTACGCTTCACTTCCTGCACTGCCAATTGCCTCTAGGGTGATGCCCGTTCTGTTTGACGTTGGGAAGGGTGTCGTCTGGTTGGTGAAAGTTTGGTGTTTACGTGACGCACTCCCTCAGGTCTTTGAGACGCCTAGAGGTAATGTGTGGTATGCAAGTGCCTGCTGTTGCTGAACGGACGGTCGGATCCGGTGCCCCACTCCTGCCTGGTTGTATTTTTTTTCAGCGCTTTCGAATGGAACTGCTGTTGCTTGTAGCGTGTAGGGTGTGTTTTTATATCCATGTTGTACTATTGTGCCGCCCTGACTGTTGATAGCGTTGACACTGATTGCCAAAATCAAGCATGTAAGATGTTTCGTGTTGCACCACTGCAGCATCTTCTTTGTTTTTGCGAGGTACACATAATTAGTAGTTGGAGGAGATTGGTATAATGAGGATATCTCAACGCTAGACGCACCTACGTTTTGGATTTTGCAAATAATGTTCGTGTTTGGCCGATGTAAGCAGATTGTTTTTTTTTTTTTCCCTCGTGAACCGGAGGAGGGGGCCATCAGACAGACCGTTTCGACAACGACAAGAGCTTGAGACGGAATCCATGCATGCCCGAGGAACACGCCTCCTTGTCCGGTGCACTCAGGATGCGAAGAGCACCAAGAATAGACCGACATGGGCATCTCATCTTTCCCTGTGTCGTTCGAAAGGGTAATCAGTCACGAGAGGGAAAAGGAGGGACAGCGATGATGGTGTTCATCCAACTCGAAGTGCTTCTTTTGCAGTCCGATGGCATCAGGTGGTATCACGCCTTTTGTTTTCTTGGTTGTTTTCGTCATTTTCAAGGAGCGCCACATACACACGTCACCTGAACTCTTTTACCTTGAGCAAGGTCAAGCAGGAAATTGGGGTGAGACCAACCGCTCTTGTTTCCTCTTGGTTGACCCCAGGATGTCGTCAAGGGACCGGACGAAAACGCGATTGATTCCTCTTGAGGCTCATGCTTGGGGGTGGATGCGCCACTCCCCCCCCCCCCCCCCCCCCCCCCCCCCCCCCCCCCCCCCCCCCCCCCCCCCCCCCCCCCCCCCNCCCCCCCCCCCCCCCCCCCCCGCCCGTGCTTACACGTTCCCATCCAGTAATGGGTCGAGATGGCTCGGCTCGACGGCTCGACAGAATACAAATATTGATGACGTTGTTTCGTCTGTTCGCAGTGCAATCAGCTCTTCCATGTATCCTATGGACGAAACCTTAGAATACGCGGGATACAGGTTGTAGAACAGATGAGGTACTCTAGAGTGCGGTAACCGGCTTGCTATTCCATGGAAGAACAATGCTGCTCTCTACGCAAGAAATTTCAATCTTGGAAGCAAAGGTCAACGGCTTTTCTGTGCCCACCACGTGCCTCCGCCCCGCTGACCCGATGTCATGTCCATATCCAAGGGTATCGTCATGCCGGCATGCGGGCGTTGCTGAAATAGCTCTTTCTCTCTCTCCACAATTCCCTCTATTTCTCCTTCGTGCGGGTTCCGACGACAGCAAAAAAAAAAAAAACTATCCACGAGAAGATGCTAGATACATACTTGGAACCAAACGACGTGGCCGACATTTTGCCCAAAACGGGGACGTCACAACACGATCACCCTCGCTTCACGAAACACAAGCTACAACACCCCCGCAAGGGCCGTGCAAACATCGCCTGCCCTTTGCACAGACTTCCTTCGACTAATGATGCCACGAAACCACGCCTCGGGAAAAACGTCAAAACCCTTTGCTTGTGGCGCCTGTTTTGCTGAAACACGCCTCTGTCCCCCATGTATTGGGGGCACGAGTCTATCTAGACCTCTCCCTCCATCTCGCGCATGCTTATATTGTGAAGAGGAGAAAGAAACAAGAACAAGGCAGGGCGTATTTGCCGGTCTGTGCGACGTAGTCTCGAACAAAAGGAAACACATCAAATCTGTTGGGTGTACACCCCCCTCACTACTACCACACACACACACACACACACACACAACGGTGAGCCCCACAGCCCTACTGAATGGCTTGTGGGACAACGGCGCTATCGGTTTACGGCACGTACCGAAAAAAGAGAACGGCTAGCCATGGCGCCATGGCTTAAGAAAGCCAAAACAACAACCAAGAAAGCGGGCAGCGAACGGTGAGCGTACAGCACTCACTACAAGAATCGATCCCTGCTGCTATGTACGCTTGCTTGGCCGGCGGGCCCGCGACGTCTTTCTTCATCGCGCGAGTTGCGCGGTATTTCAAGTGTCCGTGTCCGTTGGTCCCCTACCATCTCACTACAAAACAGATAAAAACGAAAATGCGCTCACTCGCGCTCTATGACAACCACGGGCGATCTTTCTCTTTCGTTCTTTCTCCTCCGTCACTTCTCAATACAGGAATAATTCAGACGGGGGGGTGCTTCTCAATACAGCTGAAAAACATCAATTCGGAACGGAGGAGCACGGCAAGACTTGAAAAAAAAAAAACGGCATCACTACGCCCCATGTGCTACATAGAAAACAACGGGTGGGCCGCACAAGACTAGGCGGCGGCAGGAGAGGCACGCTGACTTCGGGCAACGGCGACCCCCAACTAGGTCACGACACAGAACCGGACGGGACGGTACAGGTAAGCAATGGCCCAGCTTTACACGGAGCACGATGTAGAGAAACATACGGTATGTATATATAAAAAGCTACCGATAATGCTTAGGCCTACTGGGGCATCCGTATGATATCTTTCGTCCATACGATGTCTCGCAGCCATCGGTTGCCTCTCGAGAATAGAATACCAAGTACTAGCTAGTTTCATGTCCAACGAAGAGATACTCCCCCTTTACACTCTACGGCTGGCTAACCCTAACCCCCCCCCAATTCATCTTGATAGTCCTGCTAAAACACAAGCCACAACAAATCACGATACAGCCAGCACTACGCCGCTCCACGAAAAAAGACAGGGGGGGCAAGGAGTCTAGGGTTGTTCACTCGAGGCCGTCGTTGCCGCCGCCGCCGCCCCCGCCCCCGCCGCCACGCCATCCCCCCCATCTCCTTCACTAGCCATGTCCCCCCCGTTGATGACATCTCCCAGCCGCGCGTTGGACACCGTCGTTGGTGCTGCCACGTCCTCTGCCGTAGACAGACCGTCGATCAAGTCGTTGCCCTCGCCCTCCTCGCTGTCGCGGGGGGGAAGCAGGCACACATCTACGCCTAGCTTCTTGGCGTTCTTGGGGAACGGCTGCCCGGGGGGCGGGACGCCCTTAAGGGCAACGTCCCGCTTCACGCTAAGCATCGCCGGCGTGAACCTCTGGGAGAACTGTTTTGATGAAGGTTTTCGACAACGAGGAAAGACGAAGCAAAAAAAAAGGGGCGTTTTGTGCATTGTTCGTTGCATTCGTTAAGCTGTGTGACGAGAAAAAAAAAAAACTGCGTGACGAGAAAAGAAAACACACACACACACACACACACACACAGGAGGGATGTTGGGGGGTTATTTTGGCAGAAGGAAGGGGGGGCGGAGGGAGGGAGGGAGGGAGGGAGGGAAGGGACGGGATTCCAAAAAAGGCGATGCCCATCAATCGACGGTGCCATTAATAAGTAATTATCCTAGTAGTCTCGACGGATCTAAACCTATTAGCGGCAACCCAACATTCTCGTCAAGATCCGTTTCCAAGCTCACACCTTCCCGTAACAACCCTCCCTTTGTCTCTATTCTCGTCCACGAAACGAGGAACCCGTCTGGATGATAATGTGGATGCTCTGCATGGACAACAATAGGGCGGCTATTACTGCTGCACTTTTTAAGAAAAGCGCCGACTTGCCACGTCCCTGGCACCACAGCCATTCGCTAGAAGCCGAAACCAAACTATTTAGACTGCCGTAGCTAGCGGCTGACTACTGGTCTAACGGTTCCATTTCGGCCTCTATAGGTCGCCGAAAACCCGTGCTGTGCTGAACAAGAGCGAAACGTCACGTTTGCTCATGCGACAAATCAATCGTGCCCCGTTTTCCGCTGCCGGGCGGGCCGCGCGGCGGGCAACACCAACAGCCAACAATATCTGTAATGTAAATGTACCAAACCAGGCTCTTCACAGGCAGAGGCAACAGCAGCTTTTCACTTACGTCCCCCTTGACGTCTCCTTTTCGCGCAAGCTCGACCAAGGTTTTTCGGAGGTCGGTCTTGGCGCTCTGCACGTCGTCCGACCTGGCCACACCAAAACTCTCCAAGAGCTCGGACCCCAGGCGGATGCTTATCTCGCTGGATGTAGGACGGGGGAGGGGGGGGGGG